TCAGTTTATTTGTATAGCACCTTTTACAAAACAATGTAGTTCATCTTCTACAACTTGTGTTTATGCATCACCTCTTAAACACAAATTACATCAAACTGATTAAATCACAAAATTATCAAAATTACAAAAAGAAAGGACATGCTCTAGACAGAGACTTGATGGTAAGATGACCACATAAACGACAACAGCATTTGAGGGGTTCTCACCTTTGACGTTACAGACTTACAGAGATCCACACGACTGTGGTAGAGCATTAAAAAAAAAATTAATAATCAAGAATTTCAGTCGTTTACATGCTTACATCTTAGAAACTATGCACTCACTATAAAACAAAGTTTTTTCAAAGATCATTTTTCAAGGCTCTTCTCATGTGGACCGTCAATTCCCCATTAAGTCTGATAATTCCCCCACATGTTAATGAATTATGACTGTGTTTGTATGGATTCTTACATGTCTTGCCAAGTTTGAGTTCTGAATGAACCTTTTCCCACAGATGTGACAGGGGTACGGCTTCTCACCTGTGTGGGTTCTCATGTGAATTAACAGTCCTGAGCTTGATCTGAGACTTTTTCCACGTTTCACAAAATCACGAATTCTCAACTGTGTGACTCCTTATATGATCTTTCAATTTTGATGGCCGATTAAATTTTTTCCCACAGGTGCCACAAGAATATGGCTTCTCACCTGTGTGAATTTTTAAATGCTCATTCAATGTTGATGTCCGAGTGAATTTTTTCCCACAGGTGCTACAAGAATATGGCCTCTCACCTGTGTGGATTCTTATATGCCTACTGAATTCAGAATTGTTATTGAATTTTTTCCCACAGGTGTTACAGGTGTACGGCCTTTCATTTGTGTGGTTTCTCATGTGGACCAATGAAGCAGAAGAAGTTCTGAAACTTTTCCCACATGTTGCACAAAAATATGGCTTCTCACCTGTGTGGATTCTCATGTGAACCATCAAGCTTGTACTAGTAATGAAACCTTTCCCACATTCTTCACAAGAATATGGCTTCTCATCTTTGTGGGTTCTTGAATGTTTTTTCATGTCAGCCTTGATACTAAATTTTTTCCCACAGGTGTTGCAGGTGTAGGGCTTCTCCCCTGTGTGAATTCTCATGTGGAGCACCAGGGCTGAGCTTGATCTTAGACTTTTTCCACAGGTTTCACACAAATGTAATTTCTCAACTGTGTGACTTCTTAAATGATCTGTCAATCTTGATTTCCGACTAAATTTTCTCCCACAGGTGTCACAAGAATATGGCTTCTCACCTGTGTGAGTTTTTAAATGATCTTTCAATGTTGATGTCCGAGTGAATTTTTTCCCACAGGTGCTACAAGAATATGGCTTCTCACCTGTGTGGCATCTTTGATGTACTTTCAAACTGTACCTCTTTTTAAAAACTGCTCCACAAGTGTGACAATTGAAAGAGTTTTTACCTTTCCGAGTTTTACGACTCTTTGATCCTGGGTCTACATGCTTCCTTCTTTTCTGATCTTGTTTCTTAGCTACAGGAGTGTTGTGAGAGAGGAGCTGTTGGTCACTGTTTGCTTCTGGTTCACTTCGGTCATTTTCCTCATTAGTGGGAGTCAATATAAAGGTATCATTCCCTTTCTTCAGTACAAGCTGCTCTTCCTCCTGACTGGTACAGAGTTCCTCCTTTTCCTCTTTAATCTGTGGAGGCTCTGGATCCTCCTGTTTACATAGCTGCTGGTCTGTGAGAATCTCTTCCTCCTTACAGACATGTTGCTGTCGGAGCTCTGGAGGGACGAAGGGACATGAGAAATCGGTTACTGGGGCATCTTGGTGGCTCATCTGGTAGAGCGCGTACCACATAGGCTTAGTCCTTACTGCAGTGGCCATGGATTGGAGTCTGACCCTAGGCCTTTGCTGCATGTCATCCCACCTCTCTCTCCCTGACTTTCCTGTCTATCTTTCACTCTACTATGAAAATAAAGGCAAAAATATAAAAAAAAAAGAAAAAAAGAGAAATAGGTAACTAATGTGATGATGGAAAAATCAGATCTTGGTTTGGTCTTATTTTGTCCTTAAACGACTCACACATAACAAACGTCCAAATATTCAATAAAAGACTGAATAAATAAAGTATAAAATCCATAAAAAATACAATAGAGACAGTGGAAAAGAAACCACAAGCAGCACACAAAGCAAACAAAGTGCTTTGTGTAAGACGGAATCAGGAAACAGGATAACAACACTAAACGTTAAAAGAAGTTATACACACAGTGGTCCTGACCTGCTCCCAGTCATGACAACAACAAAGACTGCTGCGTCTCTGCTACACTACTGCTGCAAAATCTCCTCTTACTATGTCAAAACGCATATCCCTGTCACTTGTCCTGTTTATTATTTTATTACTAAATATGCCCAGTTAGTTGAACCCAACAAGCTAATAACTACAGGAACAGCCATGTAATTGATGTCTGTCTGTCCGTTACCAAAGTCCCCCCTAAGGCCTGAGCTCTGAACCCTCAGACTTAACTGACATGTTCTGGTAAGTGACTGAGTGGAAAAGGCTGAAAGGGCTCAAATATAGTATAAATATGAAGAATACAACACTGTGTTCCCTGTTGGTAAACAAATAACTGCAAACAGTTCTGACTGCAAATCACCAGTGAGCTGTGTTTAACCATACATGTTTTTCTTATAACGTGAACCAGTGATCTTTGTTTACATGTTCCACTTCCTGTGCTCCAGATGTTGTTGTTCACAGATTCGCCATTTTTACTGATACTTACCAGTGTGTCTGTGAAAAGTGAGGAGATAGTGAAGATGCTGTTGGAAAAAGGTCAGTAGCACTTATACTTGAAATCTTATCCACAAATGTGACATTTTAAAGACTTTTTACCTGTCTCAGTTTTACAGTTAGAGTTGTGAGAGAGGAGCCGGTGGTCACTGTTTGCTTCTGCTTCACTTCGGTCCCTTTCCTCATTAGTAGGAGTCAACATCAAGGTATCAGTCTCCTGTTTTGGTACAAGCTGCTCTCCCTCCTGACTGGTGCAGAGTTTCTCCTCTTCCTCTTTAGTCTGTGGAGGCTCTGGGCCCTCCTGGTCCAGACTGGAGTTCCTCTCCTGGTCACAGAGCTGCTGGTCAGTGAGAATCTCCTTCTCCTTACAGACATGTTGCTGTGGGAGCTCTGGAGGGACAAAGGGACATGAGTGTGAAGGACGAAAAATGACAAAATTAAAAAAAGATAAATAAATGCTGACATAAATAATTCAATACATAAATTAATTCAAAAACAAAAACATTTTGGCAATAAAAATACTATTTCTGTACTTTTACATTTATTTAATTGTTCATTTCTATATTTGTTTGAGTATTTATTTCTGCATTTCAAAATTTATTCATGCATGTATGTACTGCATATCTACATTTACTTATTCATTACTGTGTCCATGTTAATTAAGTAGGTGGTCGTTCTCCAGTTTAAAGCCGGATTGGTTATAGTGGTGTGACTAATTGGATGGATCTAATACTACTGCCATGACTGATACACAGGAGCTTTGTTTTTCCAGTGTTATGAATTTAGCGACTTTGACACTAGATTGAGTGATTCTTCAGACTTTTTCATAAAACACTGAGCAACAAATCTAGTGACTTTTTGAACAAACCTTCGCTACTTTCCATCAAGGAGATTCACCAGTGCTGCCTCACGAGAGGCACCCTCTGCCTCTACTGTTCTGAGTGAGAGGCAGAACAGCAAATGGCAAATGCAGTTCATACAGCTAACATAGACATGAATGAGCTTCTAACTTTCTTTCTGAGTGATCAGGTGACGTAACAGATATAAAAATCAGGATTTTAACAGCGTTTTGGTAGTGGTATGGTCTGGGGGGGGGGGGGGGGGTGTCTGGTGAAAAGATTAACATATGGACACAGAAATAAATATATAAATAAATAAATAAATAAATGTAGAAACGTGACAAATATCAGCAACATAGATATTAAAAAGGGTCTGATCGCGCCTGTCACTCTATCAGTGAAATGGGAGTGATAAGATGTTTATGAATAGAACACTATCAACACATCATAATCAGCAGTGGCCTGTATTGATAAGTGTCGGTATGTGCTGGTGAGGTGGTAAATGACAGTGAAACACGAGGGACACACGATCAGACATATTTTAATCTCAGTAACTAATGTGATGTTTAAAAAAATGGATATCTGATTGAATAAGCTCCCGTGTTAGTTTTAATTAAGACCAGTCTGGTTTTACAGACCTATCCTGTGTAGCTTTATTTCAGGTTTCAGAAAGATGACCAACAATGGAGTTCCTCTCCTGGTCACAGAGCTGCTGGTCAGTGAGAACCTCCTCCTCCTTACAGACATGTTGCTGTTGGAGCTCTGGAGGGACAAAGGACACAAGACTAATGTGATGACTTAAAAACTCAGATCTAGGTTTGGTCTTATTTTATCCTAAGACATGACACACACAACACACTTTTCCAAATATTGAATTAAAGAACAAGTAAAGGGTGTATAAAATACACAAAAAGTAGAAGAGGTAGTGCAAAACAAACCACAAGCAGCACACAAAGCAAACAAAGTGCTGTGTGTAAAACTGAAGCAGGAAACATGATAAAAACACTACAAGTTAAAGGAAGTTATTTCACATTGGTCCTGACCAGCTCCCAATCACGACAACAACAAAGACTGCTGCGTCTCTGCTGCACTACTGCCCAAAATCACATATCTATGTCATCGAATAGGGTTTGGTGGATTATTACCGGGCAGCCATTGACTGAAGGCTGTTTGAAAAGAGACGCATCAAAGCACGATGCATTCATTTCGTTTGTTTGGTCTTTGTTTCACAATTCTTCTATAATTTTTTAGTTCAGTCAGTTTCCCCTGTGTCTTATACAACCTGTACGTTTGATGTTGAATGTTTACTCATTAAAAATAAGATAATAAACTGCCCCAACGTTGTTTCTTCGTGGCAGCAATGACCCTAAAAGTAAAAGTAAGCGTAGAGCTCTGATCATTGTTAGTTTTCATTCAGACCATTCTGGTTTCACAGACCTGTCCTGTGTAGCTTTATTTCGGGTTTCCAAACGATATCCAGCAGTCTGCGCTGATGATCGATCTCTTCCTCGTACTCGACGATAGTTTTTCGATGTTAGTATTCTGTAATACGACTACACCACTGTCTTCAGGCTGAGTCCACACATCCTTAGAGCTAACACCACTCGCGCGCTTTCATTGTCTACTTCCGCTGGGTGTCACACTGTTAAGTTCCGGCAGTGGACGTGAGTTCGATTTATTTTCGCCTTCAGTTATTATTGTACATCTGCGCTGCTTCATTTCAGAGGGAAATTATGTCATTTTCTCTGTACTTCCACATTCATTCTAAGTTGTTATGTGTGAAAATATATTCACCAAAGTAACTGCAGTTTTCCAGTATAGTAAATGTAGTGGTCTAAAGATAAAACATTTGGTGGTAAAATGTAGGAAAGTGGAAATAATAAGAAAATAAAGTGACTCAAAATACAAAAACCTCAGAACTTACTTGTTGAAATGTTTTGTAAATTAGATTTCAAAGAATAATACAGCAGTAAACAACAACTTTCTATGTAAAGATGTAGTGGAGTAACGGCGTCCTGACTAGAGAAAGAAGCCGCATCCCCTCTCTGTGTGTAGTAATCGGAGTTTCTTTGCTCCATGTCTTGGTTTCCGGTCTCAGAGCACATACATATTAGTGAACTTAGGTGTTAGGGTCTGGCACTGGAGTCTCTCCTGTTAAACTGTTGGTCCTCTCAACGTTTATAAACATATAGGCACTACCCACAGGTGAAACGGCACAGTGAAATATCTTCTAGTAGAATGTGTAGTATACAACGTGACGGCGAGGGTTTAAGGGGCTAAACGGAGGCCAAGGGCGTGTCTGAAGAAGCATTTGTTCTGGTCTGAGATGCTAGTAGTCTAGTGCGACATCTAGTGGCAGTGACGACCGTTTACAGAACCTTGACTTTAGGTGTTCATTACTTCATGTGTATCATTTATATGCAGTCATGGCAATCTGAGGAAAGTCAATGTCGTACTCAGGTAAGATACATGATGCCTGTGTAAAAATGCATGTTCAATATGAGACATGTTCATTGATAAAACTACCAAATCATATTATAACATATTTTAACTTCACCCCCAGCTGGTGACCTGCAATATTAAAACAGCTGTTGCATATTGTAATGAATTCTGAAGAAAAGGCTTAAGGTACGGCTCTATGAGACCAAATGATGACTGTCACAGTGATCTTCACCCTGAAGGATGCCATCCTTACACGTATCCTTGAGAAATTATGGCAACAAACTCATGTGACTAACCTCAAGAGACTTGGCTTGCCATCTAAGAGCATCCAGGTGAACTTGCCTCGAGTTCTTGCCTGGAACATTTTCATAGTTGAAATTCTTTGACAAAAGTCAGTTTATTTGTATAGCACCTTTTACAAAACAATGTAGTTCATCTTCTACAACTTGTGTTTATGCATCACCTCTTAAACACAAATTACATCAAACTGATTAAATCACAAAATTATCAAAATTACAAAAAGAAAGGACATGCTCTAGACAGAGACTTGATGGTAAGATGACCACATAAACGACAACAGCATTTGAGGGGTTCTCACCTTTGACGTTACAGACTTCAAGAGAGGAGATCGGCGAGGGTTTAAGGGCTAAACGGAGGCCAAGGCGTGTCTGAAGAAGCATTTGTTCTGGTCTGAGATGCTATAGTCTAGTGCGACATCTAGTGGCAGTGACGACCGTTTACAGAACCTTGACTTTAGTGTTCATTACTTCATGTGTATCATTTATATGCAGTCATGGCAATCTGAGGAAAGTCAATGTCGTACTCAGGTAAGATACATGATGCCTGTGTAAATGCATGTTCAATATGAGACATGTTATTGATAAAACTACCAAACATTATTATAACATATTTTAACTTCACCCCCAGCTGGTGACCTGCAATATTAAACACAGCGTTTTGTAATGAATTCTGAAGAAAAGGCTTAAGGTACGGCTTCTATGAGACCAAATGATGACTGTCACAGTGATCTTCACCCTGAAGGATGCCATCCTTACACGTATCCTTGAGAAATTATGGCAACAAACTCATGTGACTACCTCAAGAGCTTGGCTTGCCATCTAAGAGCATCCAGGTGAACTTGCCTCGAGTTCTTGCCTGGAACATTTTAATGTTGAAATTCTTTGACAAAATCAGTTTATTGTATAGACCTTTTACAAAA